ACTCTTCACTGCTTTCAGTAACCTACCTCCTACACCATACACTTGCAACATCTGCCACATTGCCCCCCTATCCACCCTGTCATACGCCTTTTCCAAATCCATAAATGCCACAAAGACCTCTTTAGCCTTATCTAAATACTGTTCACTTATATGTTTCACTGTAAACACCTGGTCCACACACCCCCTACCTTTCATAAAGCCTCCTTGTTCATCTGCTATCCTATTCTCCGTCTTACTCTTAATTCTTTCAATTATAACTCTACCATACACTTTACCAGGTATACTCAACAGACTTATCCCCCTATAATTTTTGCACTCTCTTTTATCCCCTTTGCCTTTATACAAAGGAACTATGCATACTCTCTGCCAATCCCTAGGTATCTTCCATACATTTATTAAATAATTGCACCAACCACTCCAAAACTATATCCCCACCTGCTTTTAACATTTCTATCTTTATCCCATCAATCCCGGCTGCCTTACCCCCTTTCATTTTACCTACTGCCTCACGAACTTCCCCCACACTCACAACTGGCTCTTCCTCACTCCTACAAGATGTTGTTCCTCCTTGCCCTATACACGAAATCACAGCTTCCTTATCTTCATCAACATTTAACAATTCTTCAAAATATTCCCTCCATCTTCCCAATACCTCTAACTCTCCATTTAATAACTCTCCTCTCCTATTTTTAACTGACAAATCCATTTGTTCTCTAGGCTTTCTTAACTTGTTAATCTCACTCCAAAACTTTTTCTTATTTTCAACAAAATTTGTTGATAACATCTCACCCACTCTCTCATTTGCTCTCTTTTTACATTGCTTCACCTCTCTCTTAACCTCTCTCTTTTTCTCCATATACTCTTCCCTCCTTGCATCACTTCTACTTTGTAAAAACTTCTCATATGCTAACTTTTTCTCCCTTACTACTCTCTTTACATCATCATTCCACCAATCGCTCCTCTTCCCTCCTGCACCCACTTTCCTGTAACCACAAACTTCTGCTGAACACTCTAACACTACATTTTTAAACCTACCCCATACCTCTTCGACCCCATTGCCTATGCTCTCATGAGCCCATCTATCTTCCAATAGCTGTTTATATCTTACCCTAACTGCCTCCTCTTTTAGTTTATAAACCTTCACCTCTCTCTTCCCTGATGCTTCTATTCTCCTTGTATCCCATCTACCTTTTACTCTCAGTGTAGCTACAACTAGAAAGTGATCTGATATATCTGTGGCCCCTCTATAAACATGTACATCCTGAAGTCTACTCAACAGTCTTTTATCTACCAATACATAATCCAACAATCTACTGTCATTTCGCCCTACATCATATCTTGTATACTTAATTATCCTCTTTTTCTTACAATATGTATTACCTATAACTAAACCCCTTTCTATACAAAGTTCAATCAAAGGGCTCCCATTATCATTTACACCTGGCACCCCAAACTTACCTACCACACCCTCTCTAAAAGTTTCTCCTACTTTAGCATTCAGGTCCCCTACCACAATTACTCTCTCACTAGGTTCAAAGGCTCCTATACATTCACTTAACATCTCCCAAAATCTCTCTCTCTCCTCTGCATTCCTCTCTTCTCTAGGTGCATAAACGCTTATTATGACCCACTTCTCGCATCCAACCTTTACTTTAATCCAAATAATTCTTGAATTTACACATTCATATTCTCTTTTCTCCTTCCATAACTGATCATTCAACATTACTGCTACCCCTTCCTTTGCTCTAACTCTCTCAGATACTCCAGATTTAATCCCATTTATTTCCCCCCACCGAAACTCCCCTACCCCCTTCAGCTTTGTTTCGCATAGGGCCAGGACATCCAACTTCTTTCCATTCATAACATCAGCAATCATCTGTTTCTTGTCATCCGCACTACATCCACGCACATTTAAGCATCCCAGTTTTATAAAGTTTTTCTTCTTCTCTTTTTTAGTAAATGTCTACAGGAGAAGGGGTTACTAGCCCATTGCTCCCGGCATTTTAGTCGCCGCATACGACACGCATGGCTTACGGAGGAAAGATTCTTTTCCACTTCCCCATGGACAATAGAAGAAATAAAGAAGAACAAGAGCTATTTAGAAAAAAGTGAAAAAACCTAGATGTATGTTATAATATATATGCATGTGCGTTTCTGTGAATGTGACCAAAGTGTAATAAGATAGCAAGAATCCTCTTATCAATGTTTTTAGACAATTCCCATAAGGGGAATAAATTATGAGCCCATGCTATGAATTAACTCCCAGATATGCAAAGAAATTATGAACCCATTTATTCCCCACGAAACTTCCCTGAACCCACTTAAGTGGAGTTTGCCCATAGGGCCAGAAATTAAATCCCAATTTATAATTCATAACATTAGCAACCAGTACTGTGGTTCTTGTATCCGCACTACATCCAGCAAAATTAAGAATCCCAGTTTTAGAAGATTTACTTCTCTCTTTATTAGAAAATGTTGACAGGAAGTAAGGGAAGTTACTAGCCCATTGCTCCGGACATTTTAGCGCCGGTATAAGGAAACATGCGCTTACGGGAAGAAATTCTTTCACTTCCCATGGTATAAGGAAGAAATATAAAGAAGAAAAGAGCATTTAGGGAAAAAGTAGAACACCTAGATGTATGATATATATTATGCCATGTGCGTTTAGTGAAGTGTGACCAAAGGTGTAAGTGAAGAGTAGCAAGATATCCCTGTTATCTAGAGTGTTTATGAGACAGAAAAAGAAACCACGTATAAGGGAAGAAATTATGAGCCCAGGTATAAGGGAAGAAATTATGAACCCAGGCATAAGGGAAGAAATTATGAACCCAGGTATAAGGGAAGAAATTATGAACCCAGGTATAAGGGAAGAAATTATGAACCCAGGTATAAGGGAAGAAATTATGAACCCAGGTATAAGGGAAGAAATTATGAACCCAGGTATAAGGGAAGAAATTATGATCCCAGGTATAAGGGAAGAAATTATAAACCCAGGTATTAGGGAAGAAATTATGAACCCACATATAAGGGAAGAAATTATGAACAAACATATAAGGGAAGAAATTATGAGCCCAGATATAAGGGAAGAAATTATGAACCCAGGTATAAGGGAAGAAATTATGAACGCAGGTATAAGGGAAGAAATTATGAACCCAGGTATAAGGGAAGAAATTATGAACCCACGTATAAGGGAAGAAATTATGAGCCCAGGTATAAGGGAAGAAATTATGAACCCAGGTATAAGGGAAGAAATTATGAACCCAGGTATAAGGGAAGAAATTATGAACCCAGGTGTAAGGGAAGAAATTATGAACCCAGGTATAAGGGAAGAAATTATGAGTCCAGGTATAAGGGAAGAAATTATGAGCCCAGGTATAAGGGAAGAAATTATGAACCCAGGTATAAGGGAAGAAATTATGAACCCAGGTATAAGGGAAGAAATTATAAGCCCAGGTATAAGGGAAGAAAATATGAACCCAGGTATAAGGGAAGAAATTATGAACCCAGGTATAAGGGAAGAAATTATGAACCCAGGTATAAGGGAAGAAATTATGAGCCCAGGTATAAGGGAAGAAATTATAAACCCAGGTATAAGGGAAGAAATTATGAGCCCAGGTAAAAGGCAAGAAATTATGAACCCACGTATAAGGGAAGAAATTATGAACCCAGGTATAAGGGAAGAAATTATGAACCCAGGTATAAGGGAAGAAATTATGAACCCAGGTATAAGGAAAGAAATTATGAACCCAGGTATAAGGGAAGAAATTATGAACCCAGGTATAAGGGAAGAAATTATGAACCCATGTAATAAGGGAGAAATTATGAACCCAGGTATAAGGGAAGAAATTATGAACCCAGGTATAAGGGAAGAAATTATGAACCCAGGTATAAGGGAAGAAATTATGAACCCAGGTATAAGGGAAGAAATTATGAACCCAGTATAAGGGAAGAAATTATGAACCCAGGTATAAGGGAAGAAATTATGAACCCAGGTATAAGGGAAGAAATTATGACCCAGGTATAAGGGAAGAAATTATGAACCCAGGTATAAGGGAAGAAATTATGAACCCAGTATAAGGGAAGAAATTAATGAACCCAGGTATAAGGGAAGAAATTATGAACCCAGGTATAAGGGAAGAAATTATGAACCCAGGTATAAGGGAAGAAATTATGAACCAGGTATAAGGGAAGAAATTATGAACCAGGTATAAGGGAAGAAATTATGAACCCAGATATAAGGGAAGAAATTATGAACCCAGGTATAAGGGAAGAAATTATGAACCCAGGTATAAGGGAAGAAATTATGAACCCAGGTATAAGGAAGAAATTATGATCCCAGGTATAAGGGAAGAAATTATGAACCCAGGATAAGGGAAGAAATTATGAACCCAGGTATAAGGGAAGAAATTATGAACCCAGATATAAGGAAGAAATTATGAACCCAGGTATAAGGGAAGAAATTATGAACCCAGGTATAAGGGAAGAAATTATGAACCCAGGTATAAGGGAAGAAATTATGATCCCAGGTATAAGGGAAGAAATTATGAACCCAGGTATAAGGGAAGAAATTATGAACCCAGGTATAAGGGAAGAAATTATGAACCCAGGTATAAGGGAAGAAATTATGAGCCCAGGTATATGGGAAGAAATTATAAACCCAGGTATAAGGGAAGAAATTATGAACCCAGGTATAAGGGAAGAAATTATGAACCCAGGTATAAGGGAAGAAATTATGAACCCAGGTATAAGGGAAGAAATTATGAACCCAGGTATAAGGGAAGAAATTATGAACTCAGGTATAAGGGAAGAAATTATGAACTCAGGTATAAGGGAAGAAATTATGAACCCAGGTATAAGGGAAGAAATTATGAACCCAGGTATAAGGGAAGAAATTATGAACCCAGGTATAAGAGAAGAAATTATGAACCCAGGTATAAGAGAAGAAATTATGAACCCAGGTATAAGGGAAGAAATTATGAACCCAGGATAAGGAAGAAATTATGAACCCAGGTATAAGGGAAGAAATTATGAACCCAGGTATAAGGGAAGAAATTATGAACCCAGTTATAAGGGAAGAAATTATGAACCCAGGTATAAGGGAAGAAATTATGAGCCCAGGTATAAGGGAAGAAATTATGAACCCAGGTATAAGGGAAGAAATTATGACCCAGGTATAAGGGAAGAAATTATGAACCCAGGTATAAGGGAAGAAATTATGAACCCAGGTATAAGGGAAGAAATTATGAACCCAGGTATAAGGGAAGAAATTATGAACCCAGGTATAAGGGAAGAAATTATCAAAAGAACTGATACTTCTCATCAACCTAAACTTTAACACAGATTATCTTATGTAGCACTCGGTATATACACTGTGAGCAATATACCTCTCAGTGTATATCTTATGTAGCACTCAGTATATACACTGTGAGCAATATACCTCTCAGTGTATATCTTATGTAGCACTCAGTATATATACACTTAGTGTAGTGCATCATATAACCTATCTTCAGTGTATATCTTATGTAGCACTCAGTATATACACTGTGAGCAATATACCTCTCAGTGTATATCTTATGTAGCACTCAGTATATACACTGTGAGCAATATACCTCTCAGTGTATATCTTATGTAGCACTCAGTATATACACTGTGAGCAATATACCTCTCAGTGTATATCTTATGTAGCACTCGGTATATACACTGTGAGCAATATACCTCTCAGTGTATATCTTATGTAGCACTCGGTATATACACTGTGAGCAATATACCTCTCAGTGTATATCTTATGTAGCACTCGGTATATACACTGTGAGCAATATACCTCTCAGTGTATATCTTATGTAGCACTCGGTATATACACTGTGAGCAATATACCTCTCAGTGTATATCTTGTGTAGCACTCGGTATATACACTGTGAGCAATATACCTCTCAGTGTATATTTTGTGTAGCACTCAGTATATACACTGAAATGGTAAGACACATATGCAACAGTTAGACAACTTTATTCCGAAACGTTTCGCCTACACAGTAGGCTTCTTCAGTCGAATACAGAAAGTAGGCAGTAACAGTAGAGATGTGAAGACGATGTAATCAGTCCATCACCCTTAAAGTCGTAGGGTGATGGACTGATTACATCGTCTTCACATCTCTACTGTTCCTGCCTACTTTCTGTATTCGACTGAAGAAGCCTACTGTGTAGGCGAAACGTTTCGGAATAAAGTTGTCTAACTGTTGCATATGTGTCTTACCTAGCAACCTGTCGGTATTGTATACCATTTTGATGTTCATACACTGAAATATACCTCTCAGTGTATATCTTATGTAGCACTCGGTATATACACTGTGAGCAATATACCTCTCAGTGTATATCTTGCGTAGCACTCGGTATATACACTGAAATATACCTCTCAGTGTATATCTTATGTAGCACTCGGTATATACACTGTGAGCAATATACCTCTCAGTGTATATCTTGTGTAGCACTCGGTATATACACTGAAATATACCTCTCAGTGTATATCTTATGTAGCACTAGGTATATACACTGAGAGAAATATACCTCTCAGTGTATATCTTATGTAGAACAAATTTTTTTTTAATAAAATATTCCCAAATTCTCATTATATTCAAAATATAACTAAAAATTATGTCTTTTGCTTTTTACATTAAAAATAAGGGTCAGTTTTTTTTTTAAAAAGACTTAACCAATATTTCCAATAATTTCTAAATTTGATCACGTTTTACACAGTCGTACCAACACTCACATTTTACACAGTCGTACCAACACTCACATTTTACACAGGCGTACCAACACTCACGTTTTACACAGCCGTACCAACACTCACGTTTTACACAGTCGTACCAACACTCACGTTTTACACAGTCGTACCAACACTCACATTTTACACAGTCGTACCAACACTCACGTTTTACACAGCCGTACCAACACTCACGTTTTACACAGTCGTACCAACACTCACATTTTACACAGCCGTACCAACACTCATGTTTTACACAGCCGTACCAACACTCACGTTTTACACAGTCGTACCAACACTCACATTTTACACAGCCGTACCAACACTCACGTTTTACACAGTCGTACCAACACTCACGTTTTACACAGTCGTACCAACACTCACGTTTTACACAGTCGTACCAACACTCACGTTTTACACAGTCGTACCAACACTCACGTTTTACACAGTCGTACCAACACTCACGTTATACAGAGTCGTACCAACACTCACGTTTTACAGTCGTACCAACACTCATGTTTTACACAGTCGTACCAACAATCACGGTTTACAGAGTCGAAGCAAGACTCACGTTTTACACAGTCGTACCAACACTCACGTTTTACACAGTCGTACCAACACTCACGTTTTACACAGTCGTACCAACACTCACGTTTTACACAGTCGTACCAACCCTTACGTTTTACACAGTCGTACCAACACTCACGTTTTACACAGTTGTACCAACACTCACGTTTTACACAGTCGTACCAACACTCACGTTTTACAAAGTCGTACCAACACTCACGTTTTACACAGTCGTACCAACACTCACGTTATACACAGTCGTACCAACACTCACGTTTTACACAGTCGTACCAACACTCACGTTTTACACAGTCGTACCAACACTCACGGTTTACAGAGTCGTACCAACACTCACGTTTTACACAGTCGTACCAACACTCACGTTTTACACAGTCGTACCAACACTCACGTTTTACACAGTCGTACCAACACTCACGTTTTACACAGTCGTACCAACACTCACGTTTTACACAGTCGTACCAACACTCACGTTTTACACAGTCGTACCAACACTCACATTTTACACAGTCGTACCAACACTCACGTTTTACACAGTCGTACCAACACTCACGTTTTACACAATCGTACCAACACTCACGTTTTACACAGTCGTACCAACCCTTACGTTTTACACAGTCGTACCAACACTCACGTTTTACACAGTCGTACCAACACTCACGTTTTACACAGTCGTACCAACACTCACGTTTTACACAGTCGTACCAACACTCACGTTTTACACAGTCGTACCAACACTCACGTTTTACACAGTCGTACCAACACTCACGTTTTACACAGTCGTACCAACACTCACGTTTTACACAGTCGTACCAACACTCACGTTTTACACAGTCGTACCAACACTCACGTTTTACACAGTTGTACCAACACTCACGTTTTACACAGTCGTACCAACACTCACGTTTTACACAGTCGTACCAACCCTTACGTTTTACACAGTCGTACCAACACTCACGTTTTACACAGTCGTACCAACACTCACGTTTTACACAGTCGTACCAACACTCACGTTTTACACAGTCGTACCAACACTCACGTTTTACACAGTCGTACCAACACTCACGTTTTACACAGTCGTACCAACACTCACGTTTTACACAGTCGTACCAACACTCACGTTTTACACAGTCGTACCAACACTCACGTTTTACACAGTCGTACCAACACTCACGTTTTACACAGTCGTGCCAACACTCTCCCAGAAGCTGAAACTTAACTAATGATTCAGGAAATTTACGCACATTTCTTGTTTTAGGGGGACTATTACCGGCGACGTGACATCACATCTCGGTGACATGACGTGACAACACCTCAGTGACATGACCACGTGACATCACATCTCAGTGACATGACGTGACAACACCTCAGTGACATGACGACGTGACAACACATCTCAGTGACATGACGTGACAACACATGAGTGACATGACGACGTGACAACACATCTCAGTGACATGACGTGACAACACCTCAGTGACATGACGACGTGACAACACATCTCAGTGACATGACGTGACAACACATCGGTGACATGACGTGACAACACATCTCAGTGACATGACGTGACAACACATCGGTGACATGACTTGACAACACATCTCAGTGACATGACGTGACAACACATCTCAGTGACATGACGTGACAACACAACTCAGTGACATGATCTTTAGTAATTGTCGAGAAACTTCACTCACGCTGCATACTCAAGAAATTGTTCACTACTGAAAACTTGATCGGCCTATCACTATCACTATCACTATCACTATCACTAGCACTATCACTATCACTATCACTATCACTATCACTATCACTATCACTATCACTAGCACTATCACTATCACTATCACTAGCACTAGCACTATCACTATCACTAGAGCTATCACTATCACTAGCACTAGCACTATCACTAGCACTATCACTATCACTAGCACTATCACTATCACTAGCACTATCACCATCACTACACACACTATCCCAGCACTACACAAAAAGCACTATCACTATCACTGACACTATCACTGGGCACATCACATATTCACTATCACTAGCACTATCACTACATAGTCACTAACATATCACTATCACCTAGCACTATCACATACTACACATGCACTATCACTATCACTCGCCACTAAATCACTCAAGCACTATGCACTATCACTAGCACTATCACTATCACACACACAATAGCACTAGTCACTATCACAATATCACTATCACTAATCACTGAGCACTATCACTACACTATCACTAGCACTATCACTATCACTAGCACTATGCACTATCACTACATCACTAAGCAAAGCACTATCTCTGCACTATCACTAGCACATCACTACATCACTACACTATCACTAGCACTATCACTATCACTAGCACATCACTATCACTATCACCTAATCACTATCATACTTACATTCAATCACTCACTCACTAGATAGCACTATCACTTAGCTATACTATCACTAGCACTATCAATCACTATCACTATCACTATCCACACACTATCACTATCACTAGCAACTATCACTATACACTACACTAGCACTATCACTATCACTATCATAGCATAGCCATACTATCACTACTACACTATCACTAGCACTATCACTCTATCACTAGCACTATCACTATCACTAGCACTATCACTATCACTAGCACTATCACTATCAGCATATCACTATCACTAGCACTATACACTAGCACTATCACTATCACTATCACTAGCAACTTCATCACTATCACTATCACTCATCACTATCACTAGCACTATCACTATACTAGACTAGCACTAATACAAACTTCACTACACTATCACTATCA